TCTAGATGGCAGCTTCCTAGCTTTTAAGATCCCAGTCACTACTCGCCAAAGTAGGAGGTGGAACAATGTTTTGTATAGTATGTTATGCCAATTGCGCTTGCTGTCCCCTGTGACTATGGTCTCAATCGGGTTTTCAATGGCCGATTTTTCAGAAGACTGCTGGTTCTTTCTTCTGAGATGCCTCCAGGTAGACTAGCAGCTAAGCAGATTAACCATGTGCACAACCCAGATGATTAAAGGACACTCTCTTCTGCCTGTACCCAACTGAAACATTTACCATGCATTTATACTACCTTGAATGACTCCACCATGAACTGCGAATCAACAAGAAAAACTCCGCAGACTCGGAACTCCCACTGTTCTAGCTGCTGAATCAGCTGCTTCATCACAGGCAAGTGAGTGTACAACTCAATCTGACCTACACAAACAGCAGTACAAGATGACAAACAAGGAGTGAATTAAACCACCACATGAAAGGAAACAAGTTTTTCTCAGACCTTAAAAACAAAGGCAAGATGACACCTTATAGTAGTAAGTTGAATTTTTAAGGGGACTCACAGCCTCTCAAAGCAATCATAAAGCCTAATGTACTGCCACTGTGGGTGTTCTCAAGCAAACAATTGTTTTATGCAGGAAATGAGCTTGTTGCACTAGCTTTCTGCAGATAAAAAGTGACTGCCACAAAGAAGTGTGTAATTTGGGACAATTCCCTGGGCTGCACACTTATGACGTGTGCTTTTCTGTGGGCATGTTCAATAAAAGACAAGGAAGAAACATGAGGGTCACAAATGATCAATTCACAGTGTGGCTTATGGAGCTGCGTGTGATCACCCACCCCTCACCAGCCTCACTCATGACGTTTTCCTCTTTGGTTACCAGGTTCCAGCCATGTTTCATATACTGGCCTTTTCAGTTCCTCAAACCTACCTAATTCCTTCCTGCCTCAAGGCCCTTTGCATGCTGTGCTCTCTGCCTGGACCTCTCCTCCCTCGCTTTCATCTTATAGCTCAGTTTAAACTGACCAGAAGCCCCCTGATGTCCTTGCTACTCCTGTGGAGGCACTAAATAATTATTTGAGTGATTTTTTTATATATACCACACGTGGTTTGTGAGCTCCAGGAGGGCAGAGACCATGCTCTTCTCCCAGTTTTTCAAGTCAGCACTCAGTAAACTCAATGAATGAATCAGAGCCTGTTCTGGTTACCCGGTGCCACCCTGACAGGAACATACCACAAATGGGAAGGCCTTAACAAACAGGAGTTTATTCTCTTAGAGTTTGGAGGCTTTAAGTTCAAGTTCAAAGTACCAGGCTCTAGGGGCTGCGTGAAAGCCCCTTAGCCTTGGGCTTCAGCTCTGCCTACAGCTCCCAACCCACTGAAGCTAGAGGCATTTCTTCACTCAGGCAGCTACTAGCTGCTGAGGCTTTCAAGCCCAAGGTCGACAAATAAAACGGCACAGTCCCGATGTTACCAAACCACACGGCAGGCCATTAATTTAAGTCCATTGTAAGTCTCAAGGTCAGCAGAGCATGCAGGCTGCTGAACAATGACATGGCTACATGCAGGGTCCAAGCGTGCCGTAAGCTAGAGACCATTCCCAAGGCTTCTCTTTATATACAGGAAGCAGGCCACATCCCAAAGGCAGCTACTCAGCTGCTTGTGGTGGATCCCACATGGAGTTGATCACCAGTCTCATCATGAGAAATAACTACCACCAGCTGCCCAGCCACTCATCCAGGCCCAGCCAAGTTGACATATAAATTTAACTACCACAGAGCCCATGAGTAAGAACTCTTGACCTTACTGAAGCAGAGATTATGACTACAAATGCTCACTCCACTTTCCCCCAAGGAGGATGGAAGTACCATGGCTTCAAAGAAAATGACACGATCAAACTGCTGACATACCTGGACAGTCAAAAAGGATGTAGTCGTCCTCGACATGGCCCAGACAGTTCTCAAGCCAGTCAAAATTGCTAGCAAAGTACTCCATGCAAAATACCAACCCTCCATTGGGCCCGAACCGCAGGGAGTCATCCTCCATCACATCATCTACTTCAATCAGTTCCCGGATGTCTGAAAAGGAGCGACAGGGCCCAGGATGTCAAAATTTCCATCCAAACTTTATTAGCCTTACTAGTAAGAATTACCTATTACATCAACAAGAACAAAAACCTCACATGTATGAAAGTACTTATGTACATGGTTACTCACTGTGGCAGTGTCCACAGACAGGGAACTAATGAAGTACTGATATATATATGATCTTTCAGGTATATTTATGGGTAAGCGAAAAATGCAAGGTGCAAAATTCTGTAAGCATGCCATCATTTGTGTGTGTGTGTGTGTGTGTGTGTGTGTTTTAAAGAAGAAAATTCACTACGTATACCTACCACATATATATATATATATTTGATTTTATTTGCATAGTTTTATCTCTGGAAGGACACACCAGAAACCGATGACACTGGCTACCTCAAGGAAGGGGAGCTGGAATGCTGGGACACAGAGCTGGGAAGGAGGCTTTTTCTATGTATTTACTCTTTTGTATCTTTTGCATTTTGAACCATGTCAATGTAAAGTTAAAAAAGAAAACTCAACCACCATTAAATTTTTTTTTCCCAATCACCATTTTTCAATGTGATGACCCTAGGGAAACTGCTTAACCTCCCTGAGCATCATTTT